AGCTCGTACGGCCGCCTCCAGTGTTGTCAAAGCCCCTTCAATCTAAATGGAGGGGGCTTACGAGCTCAAGATCCAAAGCAGGAGGATCTACGACAAAGGCTGCACCCTTGAGGCCTGGAAGTGCACACCCGCCATTCTGTAAGCAGAAAGGCGCCGCACGCAGCTCTGTACGGGCTGCCCTCAAATGCCACCTGGGAGTCAGAGGCCGCACAGGTTTTGGCGCGGTGAGCTGTGCGCTTGGAACACATGAAAAGCAAAGCTGAATCCTCCTCGGAATCAGAGGCAGAAATTGGTCCCGGGACACTAGCTAGTGCCTCCCCAGTGTCAGCGGCTAGGAACGGAGCCGTGGCTGATGCGTGCTGCTCGGGGCAAAGAGTCGGAGACAGGCGCGGAGGAAGACAAAGGCTGGAATGCATCAGAGAGTTCCTGGAGGGCCAAAAGTCCTGGTCGGAAACGCTCAGGAACTGCTGCAGTGCGAGGCACGCCGTCAAAGCGCAGACCCAAGTCCTGGAGTGTACATCCTGTTGGAGTACAACGGGTTTGACTTCAGCCCCAGCTACTCTGCAAACACCTGGCACCTTATGCCTCGGCACGCTTGCTGACCTCGGGCAACGCAAAGGGCCTCCTTGTGTAGGGGGCTTAGGGGTTCCAACTGCAGGGAGCGACTTAGGGCTAGGATGCACAAATGACATACGATGCTGGGAAGGGTAAACGGCATATTCCGAAGCTGATCGGTAAGCAGGCCCGGGCAAAGCACCTACCCCAAAGCTGTCGTGACGCAAGCCCTGCTGGGCCTCACCGGTGCAGGCAGAGGGCGAGGCAAAGTTGCGGGTCTGGGTGCCGGGCTTGTTCTGGGACAGACGGTGCGAAGTGGTGCAGGCACAGGTGAATGCAGAGCCAGCACTTGTGCTCGTGTAGGCATGGACTTGGGACGGGGCCAGGCTGCCACTGCACACGATTGCAAAGCGCTTTCCAAGTTTGAGGGTGCAACGACAACCTCCCAAGATAACTTGGATTGGGGAGATTCCAACTCAACATCCAAAGCAGGCTGGCTCAAAACTGGAAGTCCAGGTGGAGTGGGAGGGAAGTGAAAGATCTCGCTGGCCTGGCCTGCTGGCTGCTCACCAGGCAAGGTCGCTGCACTGCCAGAGTCACCTGCGGGTGGCAAAGCATTGTCTTGAGCTTCAGAGGGCCTCTTTATACCTCGGTACCTTTTACAGACAAAGGATGCACGAGGAGGGCTGGTCTCACGAAATGCCGAAGAGGAGGACTCTGCTGCAAAGCATCTATCTGCTCAGCAAAGAAGTAGGGTGTAGGGTCACCCATGACGGGACAGGTGCTGTGCAAAAGCAAAAAGTCCTCCTGAGAGGTGCTGGCAAGCTGAATGCACAAAGTGAATCAAAGCAGTGAGCTGTGAAGCAACAAAGGAGTGATGATGCTCTAGGGCTCGCAAGCGAGTGTCCACACGAGACAACTCTTGCTGCAAAGAAACAACTCGCAAAGCCAATGCTTCTCTCACCTCTCTTTCCCCTTCGAGCTCCCTCTCCAGCTCCAAGACACAGCTCTCAAGGTCAATGCTTGAACTGATAGGCCCAGACGACGAGTCCAGCTCCGGGGCTGGTTGTTCGAGCAGCGTGCACGACCCCTAATGGGCAAAACTTAGAACAGCCACACAAAGCTATCTGTAGTCCTGACAAATTTCAAAGCATATGCCATGTTGCTGCTGTCAAAAGCTCAAGAAAATTAAAGCTAGCAAAGCACTGCTCTGATGCTGCTCTTGTATGGTGTGTGGCTTGAGCCAAAATGGCTAGAAAATTAAAGCTAGCAAAGCACTGCTCTGATGCTGCTCTTGTGTGGTGTGTGGCTTGAACCATAAGCATCAAAGCATGATGACTTTCTCAAAACAGTAAACAACCATGAGTAAACACATAACCCATACGTCCAAATAGAACATTGAGTAGCTGCAAATAGCCATGGACCCGGAACAGCATGAACCGCCAGACCCCGGCGAGACCCGAAGCCGGACTACTGCGCAAAACTGAGCCAAGCTACCACCTGCGTTGGCGGGTCCAGCAGCTTTGCCGCTACTACCTCGAAACATGCTTGCCAGGGTCACGGCTGGTCAAGTTTCCAGGGTGCGGGGCTCCCAAGCTGTGGGCTCCAATACGTTGGTCAAATCCCAAATTACTGCCTGCGCTGCACTTGCAGTCCTTCCACAGGACTTGCAACACGCAACGTAATCTGCGTGAGGCATGCCAGTGCCCATGAAGTCACGAAACCATGGTCAACGATGAGCAAGAAGGCTTCAAACAAACAAGCAGACGAGAAAAACAAAGGAACAAACAATCAAACAAGTCAACAAACCCGGAAACGGTTTGACATTTCTTGCTCGTAGAGGTCATGTGTCAAGAACAAGACTCCTTTGAGGACCAGGGAGTTGATTGCCTACGCATTTATTCGTCCTGCAGCCATGTTCGATGGAGGCGTATAGGAACACATTCCATTGCAACATAGACATAAGGCGCCTTGTGTGCTTTTTTGCGGCGCATGCTGTTTTGAGACGAGCTACTTTGTCCGCCCGCGCGCCGGGAATCTGTTCATCACGAACTTGCCGAGCTTGCAGCGGACTGAGAACATCCCAGATGCGTGCAACATCAGACATGGACTGGTAACGTTCGTGGGCCTTGGCGCGTGCAGAATTGCAAAGCGCTGCCTGTCGTTGTCCAAGATGACCTGTCAGAGCACTCCGGTTCCTCCTACTCGTATGTTCATCCTGTCCAACGGCGCAACAATCCTGCCAGGCTGCAGTTTCTCAGAAGGATACAAAATCATAGCGCCTTTGGTTCCGCATCTTGGAAATCCTGCCTCGAGACAGAACACTCTGCTAAAGAAGGCACACGCACGTCCAGGCCACTCCTCAGACATCATGGTTTTGTGTATTCGTGGGGAGCAAACAACTTCCAACAAACGCCGGCAAACCTACCATGGTGGTGTTTCAGTGGAGTCGATGCCACATGCTGTGATTCCTTGTATCTGCAGTAGTACCTAGCTGCTCGAACAGATGGCCTTTCACCACGACAGGATGCCCATCCTCTTCCCAGGACGACCAAGGGCCAAGGGATACTGAAAAACAAAAACTGTGATTGGTTCATCATGTTGCAAAATAGAGCCTTGCCAAACCATGTGAGACCCGATGCCAACCCCAGCTACATCCTGCCCAAGAGAGCGACATGCACCCAGTTCCAACAAGATGAAGCAAGGAATGAAGAGCAGAGAAGAGCAGGGTGAACTCAGAAGAGATGCGGATTGGATGCTGCAGGGTTTCGTGGCAGCGTGGGTAAGCCCTGGCCAACAAGGTAGATCCGTTATATGGAGCCAAGCCACAAGACATGGCCATGACATCACGATAGAGGCAGCGCGCGGGACAGGCGATCCATGGCCATCTACGTCGAGCAAGGCGCGCGCGTGCTGAAGGCGCGCATGTTTACGCGAAGGAATCCTGAGATAAATGGCGCCGGCACAGTTACCGCTGGCCATCAGTCTTTGGTCCTGTGGACGTCGCGTGCTTGCGTCATGCAGGTTGCTGCCATGAACAATGCCCGATCATGCGCGTGACACTGTTGAAGGAGCGACTGCTGCTGCATAGATGTTCCGGCGCTCAGCGCCACATGTCGTGTGCCTGCGTGCCAGCAACAAAACAGCATCTTGCAGCTCCATCTGCATACTGCGCGCAGATCCGGACAGCGTGTTTTCATTGGGCATTACATCTTGGGACGATGAGATTGAATTACAGGTAATCAAACCCTCAACGAACATCGTTCCACATTCCGCTTCCATCAGGCCGTTACTTGCCGCTGCCGCTGGGCAACCTGTTTACACCAAACTCGGCGTCGAACTCAGGCCGCCATTCTTGCGCTCAAATACCAGAATGGCACTTCGAGGCCAAGCGTCCTCAAAGCACACAGTGTCATGACTTGCTGGCAAAAGGAAACCGCTGATAAACTAATTTGTTTTATTCATTTAGGTGCCTCCCGCCTGGCAGGATTGGGCTTGGAGTTCGCACCATTTTTTTGCTAGGGCCGGCTAGGGCTGCAGGGCCCAGGGGCCTGTATTGCGGCTTAGAGCATGCTGACCACATCTTGCCCGGACATCTCCCAAGGCTGAGAGAAAAACAATCCGGACTGGCCTTGCAAGCGACTCCCCGCAAAATTTGGCCAAATCGAGCCAAGCCTTTCTCATCGCCTACGAAGAGTAGCCCGATTTGGCCAAACGTTGCCCGAAAGTTGTCCGGCAAAATTTGGCCAAATCGAGCCGCGCCTTTAAGGCCCGATTAAATTATTTAAATAATTCAAATATTGGAGGCCCGAAATTATCTAAAATTAAGTAGCCAAAAACCCCAGCCCCAGCTTCCAAATAAACCCTATTTCAGCCGCATCCCTCTGGGAAAGAGTAATTTACATAATTTCAAAAATTTAAATAATTGAACAGGAGAAGAAAGGACTGAGACACCGGCTCCAGAGGACCAGAGAAACTACATGTCGCTCTCAAGAACTTCGTCTCGAGTCAGGCTACGAAGTGCAGAGACGGCCCAAACAAAGCCACGCATTCGGCCCGGAAGAGCCGGAAGGCGGGGCTCCAGGGTTGAAAGAGGGTGCGCCGGGAAAGTACTGTAGCCTTCACCGTGCTGCGTCCCAATCCTACTTCTGAGGGCGGTGCGCAAAACAAAAATGCAAGCGTGTGAGAAGACTGGCCCCGGGGCCCTGTGCAGGAGACCGCGGGAACAAGACCATGCCCTGCCGGTCAAGCCCCCCGCCTCCTCTACGTCGGGTCCTCCCGAACGCAGCTGCAGGATGCTGAGAACCGCGGGTGGAAGACGAAGCAGCGCTCGTCCACTACCCCGTTCTCTCTACGCCGGGTGCTCCCGAACGCAGCTGCCGCAGACTCATCCACAGCCCCGCACCCTTGTGCTCGGCTCTCCCGAATGCAGCGTGACATGTGGCCTAAAGCACTGTTTCAGAGGCCGCGAGCCTCCTCCTCAGGGCGGCCCTGGCTCGGTGGGAGCGTGCAGCCACGCACAATTCCTGCATCAAAAGGGAATGCAGTGGGCCGGGCTCCTCCCCGGCACGAGCCGCAACAGCACGCGCCACGTGCTTTATGATGACTGCAGCACCCACATCCCAAGTACCCGTCGCCTCTGCCACCATTGGGACGAAGGCGACGCCTTGGGACTTACAGGCCTGCGCAGTCTGCTTATAGGCCTCCTTATCCCGGGCATACGCAGCTGCAGCAGCGCCACCCTGTTGGCCTGCCAAGGCCAGGGTCTCCTGCCGCTGAGGTGCCGTGATGGCAAAGTCAAGTGCGGTAGGAGACCCGGACAAAGCGGGCACGTAGATATCGGCCGGCCGCCGAGCGGCAGAACTGGCGTCGTCTGGGGACTGGGGCAAAAGCAGGCCAGGACGTTCCTTCTCAGGATGGAAGCCTGCCCGGTGCAGCCAAGCAAACAGTACATCCCGCACTGCATTATGGCGAAGGGTGCGCTCTCCCCCGGCGACACAGGTGGCGGCATGATGATTGTAACGGTCCAACACCCCGTCACACAGCGGGCACCAGAGGTCATCAGCCGCATCAGGAACCCCCAACCGGGACCGCAACTCCGCGGAGAAGACAGCCGGTTCCATCCGAGTACGCCCAGAAGGGATGGCCGCGAGGAAGGCCCGGGCGCCAAGGCCAGCCTCAGAGCGGAGCACCGCACGTTCCACAAGGCTAGCCTTTGCCAGGTGTGCTTGCCAATCGGCGCGGTCAAGTCGCTCCGACAGGTCGCGCTGCCTGGCAGCCAGAGCCGCATCCAGGGACATCTGGGCATCGGCAGGGAGGTTATTACAAAGTGCCCGAAGAGCACCCGCCACAGCAGGCGAAGCTTGAACACGTGGACCAGAGAAGGTGTGGTCGATGTCGGCACAGGCAGCCATGCTGGCTCCTAAGGATGCCAGATAGGCCGCTGGCGCGTGGGCAAGGCAAGAGCGAAGTCCCAATCCAGCTTGGGCGACACCCCGTGAAGCCTGCCGCCACTGGTCATCAGTCAGGTGGATGCCGGTAAGGTCGCCGAAGCAGCGTTGCACCAGACCGTCGAAGGTGGCGAGGGCATCGGCTTGCGCTTCGGGGGGGTTGCAACGCATGCTGTGGACCATACGCGAGAACCCCGCACAAGCTCGCAAGAGACGGAGGCCCACTTGTGGGTCCTCCAGTTCAGCAACCGCTTCCAGCAACTCGCCGGCCTTGGCCACCCGCGCAGAAGTGTGCTGGCAGATGTAAGACTCGTCGCCGATGGCTGCACCCAAGAACTCAAAGTTGTTTGTCAGAACACGGCTGCTTCCGTCTGCGCGACGCAGCAGGGCAGCAGGAAAGTGCGGCTGAAGGAGCTGCGCATTGGTGGCGCCAAACACCACCAGCTCGCACTTGCCGAGGTTAAGTTCGAGGCCGATGTCTGCAGCTCGCCGTTGGGCGAGCTGGAGCGCAGTGCCCAAGGCAGGAATGTCACCAGCGAGCACGCCATCATCAAGGAAGTGCACTGCGAGGTCCAGAGCGCCACCGCGCAACTCAGACGCCAGTGGTTGCAAGGCAAGAGAGAACAACAAGGGGCCCAGGGGATCCCCCTGTTGCACTCCAGCCGACGACTCCAGACTACGGTCGCCGAACTGAAGACGACTGGGTTGGCGGTAGCACCACGTAGCCCAACGAGCCAGGGATGGAAAGTGGGCGGCAGCCTGTCGCAAAACCTCCTCTCTGCTCACGCAGTTAAAAGCGTTTCGCAGATCAAGCTTCAGGATGGCCTTCTGGGACGAGCCCGCATGTCTGTCACTCCAGGCTCGCACGGCGTGCACAGCCTTTTCCGCCCCACCCTTTACAGACACACCGACCTGCGCAGGCCAAAAGAATTCCCGGGCCTCGTCCTTCACAGTGATCATCAAACACTTCCCTGTAAGTCGGCGAAGTAGTTCTCCCACAGCTATGGGCCTGACCCCACCGGCAGGCTTAGGCAAGGCCACGAGGCTAGCGCCCGCAAGCACCGGTGCAACCTCAGCAGGCGCACGGCCCTGAGCGAGGAGGTCCACAACAGCGGATAGCTGAGCCAGAAAGTTGTCAGTGCTTCCAGCACAGCAGGCATCGCGCAGATGTTGCACACGGAGGCCGCTCGGGCCGGGGGCGGTCTCGGCCGGGAAAGCCCGCAAGCACCGCGCCACAAGCTCCGGAGCCATACTAGGCGGCAGCGGCAGGTCAGCGATGGCCGGCGCTGCAGGCAAGGGCCGGTGTGGGTGAAGAGCAGCAAGGGCCCTAGCAGTGTCCTCGTTCTGAGGGCAGAGACCTTTGGACAAGAGAGCGGCACAAGCCTTCCGGTCAAAGCCCTCGCGCCCCCAACTGGTAGCGATGTCCCTGCGTTCCTCGGGCGTCAGCGGCCCAGTGCGCGCAGCCCGGCGGCAAGGACGGGCCTCCCAGAGTGACAGGCGCTCCCCCTCCTGCCACCGCTGCAGCCTGTCCAAAGTGAAGGCGGCGGCAGCCTTGCGGTGCCTTCGGCCCCCCCGCCCAGGTGCACAAAGCACGCACTGCGGTAACATCAAAAGCTCCAGCCAGGACTCCAGGTTATTGTGATGCCCCACAGCGGCTAAAGCTCGTGTAAGCACCTGGTTCCACGCATGCCTCGCAGCAACCGGCACATGCCGCAGAGTACTGGTGCGGGCAGCCTGGATGGCCTCGAAAGATGGTAATGGCAAACCATCCACCTCCATCGGGGCGGCCTCCACAGCAGCCGCCCTGGCTTCAGGCCTGCAGGTTGGGTGGACACCGACTGGGCACCGCATTCGCCTGCGCGCCTGCATCCAGCCAACAGGCACATCCCCCTCCAGAGTGCCAGCCAGGTGGGCATCAATATGGGCCCGCATGCAGGTGTCATTAGCCCAACCACGGGCGCGAGCGGGATCCGAGCAACGACAAGCAGGGACAGGACAGTACACGCGCCCCCTCCGTGCAGCAACATCCACACCAACCCCTGCAGCTCGTGGAGGCGGTGATCTTTCACGAGGTGGGCGTTCACCCCCGACTGGCGTGCCTGGCTCAGGTCCGGGAAGGCTCGCTTCTCCCACGCGCTGCCCTCGCAAAGGCCGCCCGGACCAGGAAAATAGCCGTGGCTGGCGTCGCCAGTTAGCCCGCTGTCGCTCATAGAGCCGCCCATGTCCACGGCGCCATCTGATGTTCGTCTCTGCACCCCGCAGGCCCATTAGAGGATCCCACAATGGTGGGGGCAGTTGGGCATCACTCCACCCTGCATTGAGAAGTCGAGTCAAGCAGCGGCGATCCCGCCTACCCAAACTGTCCGGGACGAACCCTGCGGTTGTAGAGAGAGGCACCTCCCATGTTGGCCATGCGGCCTCGCCAAGCCACCAGAGTCCCCATAACAGCCGTCCGGGCGAGGGGGCCATGGCACAGGCCCTATGGGGCCTCCATTCCCCTCTTGTTCTTCCTTTCTTGCGTTTTTGTCATTTAAAGGGGAACAGGAGAAGAGAAGGGAAAGAGAAGGAGAGAGGAGAGATAAAAGGAACACAGTTTTAATGGGAAGAGCCAAGAAAAGAATAGAAGAGAGATGAATAAAGGAGAGGGAGAGACAAACCAAGGCGCAAAGAAGATGGCACTCTTCTTTATCTATCCTCTCTCCCTTATCTCTGCAAGGAATAGAACAAACAGGAAGCAAGGAGACGGAGTGACAAAACTTGTCGCAAAGCTTTATATATCTCCCTTGTCTCTCCCTAATTAGGCGCCCTTCCTCCTCTTCAGGAAATCGCCTTTCCCGTATTTTGCTTTTCGAAGCAACGCAAAAAAACAACAGATAAGAAGAGAGGACAGGGAATGACTACGGCCCAGGAGTGTGTTAAGAAATTTTATTAATTAAGAAATCTGGACCTGGACCGGCCACACATTTTAAAATCCAGGGCCTCGCGGGCTCGCCCAAAAAAATTCCGCCGAGGAAGTATTAAGTAACGTTCTCTGTCATATTTACCAAGAACCCAAGAAACTGCAAGCCTCAAACCCTCTAATCCCAGGGCTCAGGGCTCAGGGCTCAGGGCTCAGGGGCTTAGGGCTTAGGGCTTAGGGCGGAAGAGGCCCGGCACAAAAAGTCACCTTTTTTGAGGTGTTTCAGGCCGGAAAGACCCAAATAAGGTGACTTTTTGTGCCGGGCTCTGCCGGGCTCTTGCGGGGAAGCCTTTAAGGGCTCAGGGCTCAGGGCTCAGGGCTCAAGGCTCAGGGCTCAGGGCTCAGGGCTCAGCGCTCAGGGCTCAGGGCTCAGGGCTCAGGGCTCAAAAAGAGCTTTTTTCTTTGGCCAATGTTGGTTGAAATGTTTCATGTATTCAAGGGCCACATGGTGTAGTGGTATCACATGCGCTTCGCACGCGGAAGGCCCTGGGTTCAATCCCCAGTGTGTCCATTTCTCAGACAGACAAAAGTTTAGGGCGGAAGGCATAAAAAGTCACCTTGTTTGAGGTGTTTCAGGCCGGAAAGGCCCAAATAAGGTGACTTTTTGTGCCGGGCTCTGCCGGGCTCTTGCGGGGAAGCCTTGAAGGGCTCAGGGCTCAGGGCTCAGGGCTCAAGGCTCAGGGCTGAGGGCTTCGGGCTTAGGGCTTAGGGCGGAAGAGGCCCGGCACAAAAAGTCACCTTTTTTGAGGTGTTTCAGGCCGGAAAGACCCAAATAAGGTGACTTTTTGTGCCGGGCTCTGCCGGGCTCTTGCGGGGAAGCCTTTAAGGGCTCAGGGCTCAGGGCTCAGGGCTCAAGGCTCAGGGCTCAGGGCTCAGGGCTCAGCGCTCAGGGCTCAGGGCTCAGGGCTCAGGGCTCAAAAAGAGCTTTTTTCTTTGGCCAATGTTGGTTGAAATGTTTCATGTATTCAAGGGCCACATGGTGTAGTGGTATCACATGCGCTTCGCATGCGGAAGGCCCTGGGTTCAATCCCCAGTGTGTCCATTTCTCAGACAGACAAAAGTTTAGGGCGGAAGGCATAAAAAGTCACCTTGTTTGAGGTGTTTCAGGCCGGAAAGGCCCAAAAAAGGTGTGACTTTTTGTGCCGGGCCCTGCCGGGCTCTTGCGGGGAAGCCTTGAAGGGCTCAGGGCTCAGGGGGCTCAGGGCTTAGGGCTCAGGGCTTAGGGCTTAGGGCGGCAGAGGCCCGGCACAAAAAGTCACCTTTTTTGAGGTGTTTCAGGCCGGAAAGGCCCAAATAAGGTGACTTTTTGTGCCGGGCCTCTTCCCCGCGTTAAGGGTTTCGGGTTTAGGGTTTAGGGTTTAGGGTTTAGGGCTTAGAGCTTAGAGCACCTCTTCGCGTGCCGGCACGGCGGGCGGAAGAGGCCCGGCACAAAAAGTCACCTTTTTTGAGGTGTTTCAGGCCGGAAAGGCCCAAATAAGGTGACTTTTTGTGCCGGGCTCTGCCGGGCTCTTGCGGGGAAGCCTTTAAGGGCTCAGGGCTCAGGGCTCAAGGCTCAGGGCTGAGGGCTTCGGGCTTAGGGCTTAGGGCGGCAGAGGCCCGGCACAAAAAGTCACCTTTTTTGAGGTGTTTCAGGCCGGAAAGGCCCAAATAAGGTGACTTTTTGTGCCGGGCCTCTTCCCCGCGTTAAGGGTTTCGGGTTTAGGGTTTAGGGTTTAGGGCTTAGAGCTTAGAGCGCCTCTTCGCGTGCCGGCACGGCGGGCGGAAGAGGCCCGGCACAAAAAGTCACCTTTTTTGAGGTGTTTCAGGCCGGAAAGGCCCAAATAAGGTGACTTTTTGTGCCGGGCTCTGCCGGGCTCTTGCGGGGAAGCCTTGAAGGGCTCAGGGCTCAGGGCTCAGGGCTCAAGGCTCAGGGCTGAGGGCTTCGGGCTTAGGGCTTAGGGCGGAAGAGGCCCGGCACAAAAAGTCACCTTTTTTGAGGTGTTTCAGGCCGGAAAGACCCAAATAAGGTGACTTTTTGTGCCGGGCTCTGCCGGGCTCTTGCGGGGAAGCCTTTAAGGGCTCAGGGCTCAGGGCTCAGGGCTCAAGGCTCAGGGCTCAGGGCTCAGGGCTCAGCGCTCAGGGCTCAGGGCTCAGGGCTCAGGGCTCAAAAAGAGCTTTTTTCTTTGGCCAATGTTGGTTGAAATGTTTCATGTATTCAAGGGCCACATGGTGTAGTGGTATCACATGCGCTTCGCATGCGGAAGGCCCTGGGTTCAATCCCCAGTGTGTCCATTTCTCAGACAGACAAAAGTTTAGGGCGGAAGGCATAAAAAGTCACCTTGTTTGAGGTGTTTCAGGCCGGAAAGGCCCAAAAAAGGTGTGACTTTTTGTGCCGGGCCCTGCCGGGCTCTTGCGGGGAAGCCTTGAAGGGCTCGGGGCTCAGGGGGCTCAGGGCTTAGGGCTCAGGGCTTAGGGCTTAGGGCTTAGGGCGGCAGAGGCCCGGCACAAAAAGTCACCTTTTTTGAGGTGTTTCAGGCCGGAAAGGCCCAAATAAGGTGACTTTTTGTGCCGGGCCTCTTCCCCGCGTTAAGGGTTTCGGGTTTAGGGTTTAGGGTTTAGGGTTTAGGGCTTAGAGCTTAGAGCACCTCTTCGCGTGCCGGCACGGCGGGCGGAAGAGGCCCGGCACAAAAAGTCACCTTTTTTGAGGTGTTTCAGGCCGGAAAGACCCAAATAAGGTGACTTTTTGTGCCGGGCTCTGCCGGGCTCTTGCGGGGAAGCCTTTAAGGGCTCAGGGCTCAGGGCTCAGGGCTCAAGGCTCAGGGCTCAGGGCTCAGGGCTCAGCGCTCAGGGCTCAGGGCTCAGGGCTCAGGGCTCAAAAAGAGCTTTTTTCTTTGGCCAATGTTGGTTGAAATGTTTCATGTATTCAAGGGCCACATGGTGTAGTGGTATCACATGCGCTTCGCATGCGGAAGGCCCTGGGTTCAATCCCCAGTGTGTCCATTTCTCAGACAGACAAAAGTTTAGGGCGGAAGGCATAAAAAGTCACCTTGTTTGAGGTGTTTCAGGCCGGAAAGGCCCAAAAAAGGTGTGACTTTTTGTGCCGGGCCCTGCCGGGCTCTTGCGGGGAAGCCTTGAAGGGCTCGGGGCTCAGGGGGCTCAGGGCTTAGGGCTCAGGGCTTAGGGCTTAGGGCTTAGGGCGGCAGAGGCCCGGCACAAAAAGTCACCTTTTTTGAGGTGTTTCAGGCCGGAAAGGCCCAAATAAGGTGACTTTTTGTGCCGGGCCTCTTCCCCGCGTTAAGGGTTTCGGGTTTAGGGTTTAGGGTTTAGGGTTTAGGGCTTAGAGCTTAGAGCACCTCTTCGCGTGCCGGCACGGCGGGCGGAAGAGGCCCGGCACAAAAAGTCACCTTTTTTGAGGTGTTTCAGGCCGGAAAGACCCAAATAAGGTGACTTTTTGTGCCGGGCTCTGCCGGGCTCTTGCGGGGAAGCCTTTAAGGGCTCAGGGCTCAGGGCTCAGGGCTCAAGGCTCAGGGCTGAGGGCTTCGGGCTTAGGGCTTAGGGCGGAAGAGGCCCGGCACAAAAAGTCACCTTTTTTGAGGTGTTTCAGGCCGGAAAGGCCCAAATAAGGTGACTTTTTGTGCCGGGCCTCTTCCCCGCGTTTAGGGTTTCGGGTTTAGGGTTTAGGGTTTAGGGTTTAGGGTTTAGGGCTTAGAGCTTAGAGCACCTCTTCGCGTGCCGGCACGGCGGGCGGAAGAGGCCCGGCACAAAAAGTCACCTTTTTTGAGGTGTTTCAGGCCGGAAAGGCCCAAATAAGGTGACTTTTTGTGCCGGGCCTCTTCCCCGCGATTAGGGTTTAGGGTTTAGGGTGTAGGGTTTAGGGTTTAGGGTTGAGGGTTTAGAGCTTAGAGCACACCGAAAAGCTCTACACTGGTGAGTTACATGTTCCCCAACTCTGTCCCTATACTCACCTCTAATCAACCCTCGAATAAGAAATATATTTCAGGGTCTGGTTCAAACCTAACTTTCTTATTTCCATTTGGGGTTTTAAGAAATTTCGAAACCCTGGCTGAAAAAGGCAGATTTCTTATTAGAAGCCTCAGCCGTAAGTAAAGAGAGGAGCTCTTCAATGTCCCTCCCTATCTCTTATGTTCCTTTTCCTTCTTGGGGGGGGGTCCTTTTTTCTCCCTTGAAGATGCAGAAACCGATCAAAAAGGACACCCGTTCCATCGCCCATATATAGGGAGAGAGAAATCATGAGCATCAGCTGGGTTTGCTGCACCACTCGAA